TCTTAGCATCGATACATCTGGTTACACGTACTAAATCAACTTCCTTTTATAATCACATCTTTAATGCCTTCGAGAATGGCGTCACATTTTGATTTAGACATTCCGCCGCATTTAGCTAAGTGCATATTAACGCTGGAAATAAACTGAAAATAAAAACAATCAATTGGAATCAGACTTCAACAATGTGCAATTATAGAAAGCGCCCTACCTTGTCCAGATGGTTAATAGCGGAATCTCGAAAATACGGTTTAAGGAAAGGAATCCTCTCGTCTTTAGGTACACTTTTCATGTTCCTAATCACGATTGAGCGCATGCAGTTTAAAAAGTCGGACAAAACAAAACCATCGGATACAACTTCCACGCTATACCTGAAAGTGCATTACAGCTGTTTATTTATTCCCTTCCTCAGGTGCGATTTCCTCAACTAACTCACCTGTATGGAACCAAGTCATCGATGCAGTTCAGCTTATTGCCCACAACCCAACATCTAAATGGCGAAGCTATCAAAGCAGCACTCATGCTAAAAGGTGACAAAATTACGCCCACGCATGGTTTGCCAAGTCCAATCCATTGCTGCACCAACTGCTGCGTGTCTATATCTTGCTGCGATGGTTCGGGCGCGAACGTCGGATGAGAATGGAACCAGCCTGAAAACCGTCCATCTCCAACGGTACCGTTAGATAGTTAAACATCGCACTTACCCAGTATTTGAGCATTTCTGGCATGGATATTCTCAGCGGCTTTGGCCTGTGAAATCGGACACATGTCGCAATGCGTGGACGAAGACGCGGCACTATTGCAGGGTTCATAGCAGGAAATATGCAGGTCGTCTGTGCAAGCGTCCCAAGCGCCGCCTACCAAGCCCATCACTTCTGTGATACACGAGTGCGAGTGAAAATCCATCAAAAGCAAAGAGGATAAGCTGATTTTCACACTTTTCTCCTGGAAAGTGATTGGGCGCTAATTGCACACCGCTTTAACACGTAAGGGCCACCTACCAGTGTGCAGTGTGGAAAGGGTTTACAATAGATCAATTTAATGATGGGTCTCTTCTGGTAGGTTCGACGTTTAGCAGGTTCTTCCTTTATAATTGTGGTGTTAATCACTTTGCCATGATCATCGTGGGTCATTGTGCATCCCCCATCGCCATCCTAACAAATTTACGCATTAGATATATTTTATAAAAAATATCAAGATATTACAACCTACTTTATTAAACGTTTTTCGCACTCTTTGCCGAGGCCCCAATACAGTTGGTTCTCTGCTGGTGAATGGTTTAGGTTGTCTGACTTTGGTTTTCGTGGATTCGGAAAGTTGCAGGCTTCTACTTAAAGGGCGCTCATATTTCGTCTGCTCTGTGCCGCAAAATGGTACCACTTAATAGTGCTAACTGGTATTTCACTTGACCACCTACCACATCCAAAATTAATCGCTCCAATCTGCTCCAGAAAATTGTGAATTCGACTAATGCATGTAACATCGCCGCAGTTTTTTAATCCAAGTCGCATCGACGTTTTGTATACGTAATTGGGTTTTGAGAATTTCCAGCTGTTGACTATATAGTTCCTGATCTATAAAGAGCACA